AGTCATCAAACAACAAAAGATATTTGACCAATGAGCATTTGTAGAATAAGTGACTAGAGTGTTAGTCTCATATGTAAATTATTACCTAATGGGTGCTCAATGAATATCGCCTTGTGGCACAAATAGACCACCTCGACAGATACGTTCTATTTGATGAGAAAATAGTAAATTATTTATTTAAATATTCCAAAAGTAAAAAAAAGAATAACTCACTTCAGAGAAGATAACTTTATAAGCGATATTATATGCTGTCAGAGGAAATTTTCAAACGAATATAAAAGTTTTTTTTAATGATTTTCAGTATTTAAAAGATTCTTTTAATTGTTTAATAGTTTAATCACCATTTGTAAGGTGTTTTATTCAGATTTCCATAGACTTTACATGGTAAGTGTTCTGGTGGGCTTTCCTTTTTGGTATCTATACTTCAAAAATTGAACTGCAATACTAGATTGGCTAGTAGGTCTCATCATTTTACAGTTGAAATAGTTAAAAGCAACCGTAATTTCTATGCTAACAGTTTCCAAGTTTTGTAACCAATTATTCAGATGCCAATAATAATTGTTCTGATGAGCTTTCCTCTTTTGTACTGAAGTGCAGTACTAGATTGGCTGCACGGTCTCATCAGTTTACAGTTCAAATTGTTAGAAATAACCGTAATTTCTATTCTTCTTCTCTCGCAGGTCCTCTCTTCCTGTCTTTTGATTTTCAGTCAATTTTAAACAGCAAAAATTTAAATGTCATACCAATCGTTATCTTCTGTCATCTGAATTCCTGCTCTCTTTAATATTTTTTTACTTCTTCATATTACTTCACACTCAGTAACCCTTTGCATGTGTGTATCTTTATTGTATTGCTTGGGGTGAAAAACTGAGATATGGAGAAAAAGAAAGAAATTCCGGAAAGTACTCCAATGCCTTAACCGGGTATTGAACTCACAGTCTTTGAGGCCTGTCAAGGACACATGGCACAGTGGATAAAGGCGTTGGTTAGATCCAGTGACAGAACTTGGAGAGGGGAATTAACAGGAGATAACTGATATCCCTTAAACATGGCACGTGGAACTAGAACAGTCTACCCCAGTGAGCGAAATAAAGGGTTCAGTTCGACATTCCAACCACCTGAAGAAGGCCGGAGCGTACAATGACCGAAATGTTGTAATAAATATGGCGACAAAGATGAGGACAATAGTTCGAATAATGTAAATAGTGTACGAAATATTGTACTGAAAGGCCGAAACGTTGTAATAAATATGGCGACAAAGATGAGGAAAATAGTTCGAATAATGTAAATAGTGTACATAATACCTCATCTCAGAAATATAGAAAGATACTGAAAGGCCGAAACGTTGTAATAAATATGGCGTGAAGACAATAGTCCAAATAAAAATATGGCATAATATCTCATCTCAAAATAGACAGATACTGTAAGGCCGAAACGTTGTAATAAATATGGCCACAAAGATGAGGACAATTGTTCGAATAATGTAAATAGTGTACATAATGCCTCATCTCAGAAATAGAGACAGATACTGAAAGGCCGAAACGTTGTAATAAATATGACAACAAAGATGAGGACAATAGTCCGAATAATGTAAATAGTGTACATAATATCTCATCTCAGAAATAGAAAGATACTGAAAGGCTGAAACGTTGTAATAAATATGACAACAAAGATGAGGAAAATAGTCCGAATAATGTAAATAGTGTACATAATACCTCATCTCAGAAATAGAAAGATACTGAAAGGCTGAAACGTTGTAATAAATATGACAACAAAGATGAGGACAATAGTCCGAATAATGTAAATAGTGTGCATAATATCTCATCTCAGAAATAGACAGATACTGAAAGGCCGAAACGTTGTAATAAATATGGCAACAAATATGAGGACAATTGTTCGAAAAATGTAAATAATCTCTTTTTGAAAATTTAAAATAAAAACATTATGTTTGGCCTGTCAGCATGATTAAAATACTACTTTTAGAAAAGTTGAAACATTTTAGAGAGAGATTATTTTTTAGTAAGACTAGAATTAATACATTCCTACACACGCACACACACACACACACAGAAACAACGCACACACACTGACACACCCACACAACACACCCACACACGCAACACAACACACCCACACACGCAACACAACACACAACACAACACACGCACAACACAACACACACACACACACAACACACAACACACACACACACACACACAACACACAACACACACACACACACATATAAGTGTCAGAATGGTATAGAAGGAATCAAATTCCAATAACCAAAAACATTATTCCTAAAAGAGTGCTCAATACATCGAAATGCTCAGTTTTCATTTGTAAAACTTCCCCCCAGCCTCCATTCATGTTTATTCAATTTCCTTTCAATTGTATCTAAGGTTGTTAACGATATTTGAATCCCTTTATATTTGCGTCAATTTTAAATGACAGTTGAGCTTTTCGATGAAAATAAGAAATAAATAAAAAAATAAAAATAAAAATACTTTGTTCCATTCCTTCTTTGAATAATTAAATATTTATTTTAAACTTAATGCAGGGTAAATTTAAAATTTAAATTTGTAATTTATATTTTTAGTGTTATTGCGAAATTATAAATTAGTTATAATGATTTCTAATTTAGTCTAACATTTACATTAAGACATTAATTAATTATATTTAGGTTTGTTGTCAAGTTTTTTGAATTATCATAAACTCGTCTTTTGATTGGTCATGGGCGCTTACGTAACAATGTTTGCCTTATTAAGATGAGTTTGGTTGGTTTTGAACTTTTAAAAACTCTTTATTCTGAAATCAACACCATCACTTGACAAGACACCAGAAGTGTTGAAACAAAATGGCTATTTTTGTAGTGATGTTATAACATGCTTATGTTATAATTTTTGAATAAATACTATATATATATATATATATATATATATATATATTTCATGAATCATTCCTACAAAAAAACAGATATAGAAGTTAATGATTTAAATGGCGAGAATACATCTTCGCAAACAAATTCCAGTTGCATAAGGTCTTTTTTAGTTTTTTACAAGCTTTCATCTGTTCATACAGACATCATCAGGTATGGAAATAGATTTGTTTTTGTTTTTTACTTCTCGGTAATAAGAGGACAACGAAAATACAGATGTAATCCGAAAAATGTTTTTAGAAATGATCCGACGTGCAACTTTCGGATAATAACTGTGACATTCCTGTATTTATTGAACAATTTAGTTCATGCCACATTGACTGAAAAACGTACCAGTACAAAAGAATTCTCCTATTACCATATTAGTACAAAAATGCACAATCTTAAAATTTAAAAATTCAACCTCAGCGTTGCGACCACACGCTCAAAAAATTTCTTACAATTAACAATAACACATTTCTAAAAACATTACATCTATATTTCCGTTGTCCTGTTATTACCGAGAAGTAAAAAACAAAAACAATCATCGAAGTCTTTTGGGCAAATCCTAGCATCTCAAATATCAAGAAGATTATTAAAGAGCTGCTTGTCAATAACGCACCAGACGACGACGATATTCCAGCTAAAATCTACAAATGGTTTTTTGAACCCCTTATCAACAAGCAATAAATACTTAAACCTGAGGATCTGTTCGACAACTTTTTAAGGACGCTTCCATCGCTCACCTCTACAAATACAGGTATAAAATGTGCGAATGCTCTTCTCTGTTCACAGGTATATTCTTGTTTGACTGATTTTCAACCTGATTAATAAGTCTTGTTCAGAATCAGTTCTACCTGAGAGACGATGGAAATTTCGAAGTGGTAGAAACAAAAAGGTAAACAAATCATGACGTGAGAAAACTATTCTTTGCCTAAATCGAAAATTTAAGATGTTTGGCAATAAATTAATAGAAAAAAGAAAAGGATTCATATTTTTGTCAACATCACATGTGCGCAGTGATTACGGACATTTCGAGCTTGAATATGGATTCGATTCGCTTTTTCGCTTTTACAACCATAAACATTATACCGATTCCATTTTCGGCCGGCCCGAAAATATGAAAATTGGAAGTCACCAAATCCTGACTATAAAATGGATGTTGTAGAACAATCTAGCTAACATTAATATCATCTATGATCTTCCAACTTTTGGAGAGCCTGGCGTTTTCATGTTAAAATCGAAAGGTTGACTTCTTCTCTGGTCTGAATCTGAACCCAAATAACCCATCGGCTAACTGTGCTCACAGTCATTGTTTGGTCTCAGTAAACGCTTAACATTCATCTATGAATATCAATGGAGGGATTTGTACACAAATTTCTCAACAGCAACTCACCCGCCATTTGTAACAGGGCAAAAAAAATTTAATTTGAACAATTTCAATCTATACTGCCACATCAACACCATCCACGTGTGTCTTTATTAACCAATATATATGTTATGGTGCAAGTTCCTAGTACCACGGTGATGTTCGAAGGTTAGAACCAATGAAAGAATAACACGAACACAGGTATGGAATACAAAGATATATTACAACAGAAATATAATACAAAGAAGTAGAAGTATTAGTAATGACTATCAGATTTGATTAGAGTGAACTATGTTGTCTCGACAAGTATCACTATTCCAATGTCCTTACAATATGCTCTCAATTATCTCACCTCGTCTTACAATCTCCTGATACCTCTTGAGAGGGGCAGTATTTATAATGTCAGGAATAGTCCATTTTTATTATGGGTAAGTTCCCATGACAATATATATATATATAGTAATAATCTAAGGTAGGTGATATAATGGTAACACTCTGTTTCATTTCCACAGAACCAATAAATAAAGTTTAACTCTATCTGCACCTTTGTACATGACGTCTCTGAAGGATCTTCATTGTATTGCCAAAGCATGGCGTAGGCAATTATCTTTCGAGTGGGTTGTGAGAAAATGTCGTTTATATGACAAAGGATGATCACAGGAAACACCTTCGCCTGACAGGAAGATTCAAATGAACTTATTAAAATATATGAACCGGGAGAGTTAATCTGCGATAATAAACATAGATACATAGATAGATATGACTAATCCAAATATGAGCAAACTGAAATGGACATATAAACAGATGTAAACAGACTGAGATAGATAGATAGATAGATAGATAGATAGATATGACAGTATTTATACATACACGTCTCTTCATATATATATAACAATATATATATTTGTAACAAAGCAAACAAATTCGATTTGAACAATTTCAATCTTTACTTCCACACCACTAGCATCCACGTCTGTCTTTATTGACCAATAGAAATGAATAGGAGGTTTTATTTTCGGAGCAACCTTCGTATTTTAAAATGTCATTTTCAATACAATTCAATAATACGTTTTGCTTTAGATGCTATACTGGCGATTGAAAGATTCTGGAAATTTCGAAGCATGATTTTAAACCAGATCTCAAAAGCCGTTCAAGATGTTCGCATTGAAATTAAACAATATCGAATTCTCAAAATCTGTTTAAACGTTCCACAGGTGATGGCGTGAAATAAATCCCAAAAGTATATGAGATTTGCTTTCAAACACAAACTCAAGAAAAACCCGATTACCAACAATCAAAAGATTTTAGAAGAGAGAGAATCATTAAAAGATTTTATTTAGTAGTATTAAATTGATTGGTTGATTTGTTTAACGGCATATCAACAGCTTATGGGTTGTTTAATGCCGAAATTTAATTTGAGGGATAAAAAGACAATAAAATAACAATGCAGTCAATAAAATCGATGATATTTATTATATGTTAGTAGGCATTTCCACTAAACTGACACAGGAAGAGAAAGGTTTTAAAGTCGTAATTTTCGGACACGACTGTGTCCTTTCTCAACGAGACGAGAAATAAATACAGAAGTGCGACTCACCCTTTCAGGGAATGTTGTTGTTGTTGTTTTTCCCCCTAATGTGTTGTATTACTGTAAGAAATTAGATTTTGGCCTAGTATTTTGTCAGGATTAGGGTTATTGAGGGTTTGTTGAAGGCTCTCTGTGCAAAATTTGTTCTCTGAGCAAACCTAAATCCCTCTTAAATCCATTAATATGTGATTCTGTTTTGAAAATGTATACTGAAAATTTATTTGAATTCCGATTTACACAAGAGGAGGTAATACTATCTTTCAGGAATACAGCACACAAGACATCATCAACATTATACAATTCATACTTACTCACAACAGTTTCACGTTCAATGGCCACCATATTCTTTAAGTCAGAGACACAGTGATGGGAACGAAAATGACCCCCAGATATGCGAACACATTTATGGTGCTCCTGGAACGAGATATGTTGAATAGATACCACTTCGCATCCCTACACTACCATAGATACATAGATGATATCTACTTTATATGGACACATGGTGAGAACAGTCTTCCCGACCTCAAAAAAAAAAAAAAAAAAAAAAACTCCTCAAGAATTTCCACCACGCCATGAAATTTACAATCGAATATTCCACCACTTCCATTTCGTGTTTTGATGTACTGGTACGTCTAAATACAAACACATCTCCGCAACACTATGCACTGAACCTACAGATTGTCATTGGTATCTAAATTTCAATAGCTGCCACCACACCAACTTAAGAAAATCAATAATCTACAGCTTATGTTTACGTATAAAACATATCTGTTCACAAAATAGGGATTACAAAAAAACATAGAACAACTATTCAATTATTTTCTCAAGAGAAAATAACTCACTTAAAACTATCGAAGAATCAATCACTAAGACTTCCGAACAAAACAGAAATATTCTTCTAACCTATGAAACAAAAAAAGAATAATTCCAGAATTCCCATGGTTTTTGATTTTTATTACAATATTCACAAACTTTCCAATATCTTAATAAATATTTCCGGTGTTTAAAACTCGGTTAAACTATTAGAAAGATACTCAACTTTATCCCTCTCAACTCTATGCGTCATCCCATTAACCTACACGAACTCCTAACATCATCTGGCATACATAAATCACCACCTCACCAAGAGAAAAGAAACCAATAAAACACCGACAGTAAAATGGAAATTAATAAGAAAAGTTAGAATATGTAGGTCATTAAATGACCCATGTCCTTTGTGCATACATGAGAAACTATATATTACTAGGTTTATAAAAATAAAAATTTACTGAATCAAAGAATTTCAACAATTTTCCTTAAATAATATTTAATAAAAAAGAGCTGTAATATACGTACTTATATTTGATATTTAATAATAATAGTAATATATATATCTGATATTTAATAATAATTTTTAAATAATTTAAATAATTCTATTACATTTATTAGTATGAAATATAGTCTATTAGTAATTAAAAGTAAAAATAATATTGTAAAATTGTAGTTCAATAAAACGTATTCTAATCCAAACACCCCTTTCAGAAAAAATCTTTATGTATACAAGTATAAATTTAACGGATAAAAATTACGAAAAATTTTTTGTCGTTTAAAAAAAGCAGACGACATGCGTTGAACGGATGTCATAATTCGTTGAAAAATGCACCCCTACCCTACCTAGACATAAACTCTTTTTCGAAAGTGTTATGGGGTCCACCCCTTTTTCATATAAGTGGACTCGACCAAAGTGTTACTTGGACTGCTGCCGTTAAATACCCAGAGTCAGTAGTCAGATAGTAAGAAGACTGAGATTGTGATTGAGTTGGAGGTAGAGTAATAGTGTGAGGTAACCGCTTGTAGAAGTCAGTTATAAGCACGTCCGAGACTGTATATATCTATATGTTATTGCTACTAACCGCGTTCCTGGATTTACTAACAGTATTACCCTTTGTATTATTGTGTAAATACATTTAATTTCTTATCTTTAATTCTTGCGTTTGTCATTCATTGGAGACCGAATTTCATCTCGGAATCCACAACGGAATGTAACTCAAATTTGATACAATAGTTGTTAATAAAAATGAACTCGTTACGTCCTTTGTCTAAATGATTGGATTTCTCTGTATCCTTGGAAACAAATTGTATATGCTTTTAAAACTGAGTAAATTTCAAAATAAGTTATTCTAAAATTCGTTTGAAAATGAAACAGAACTAGTGCTTTTAATTTAATTAAATAATTGAATTTGAAGTTGTTAGTTTCTGTTTTTGAAAAATGGTAATTCCTGTGTAGCGAAGGAACCATATTTTTAAATCAGTTAATTTATACTATATATATATATATATATATATATATATATATATATATATATATTACCTCAAATGTTTTTATAGTGGATACTCGTAGTTGAAATAGTTACCCTATTTTCATTTTTATTTTTCTAAACAGTGTGTATTACGTCTATCATCCGACAACGTATTCGAGAGATCCTAATAAAGAAAATGTGTTTTCCGGCAAGGATCGAACCAGCGCCCACCCGTTGTAGATCTCCAAATTGCATACATTCCAGTCGAAGAAGCGTGGTAAAAAAAAAATTTAATTTCTTAAATACGCAATAAGTCGAGCATATTTAATAACTTCTTTCCGCATATGATTCTTTAATAAATTTAAAAAGACATTCATCAACAATATTTTTTTTTTACTAAAGCATGCTATATATATATATATATATATATATATATATAGAGAGAGAGATAGATAGATAATATTAGTGGTAAATATACACAAACATATGCAAAATTTATAAATATATATACATAGGTGCATACAAAAAAGTAAAAAGTTTGGCTGAGGATTTGCTTAGGTCGCTTATTTAATAGTTTGTTTTGGTCTGGGAAGATAATTCAAGTTATTTATTCGTCTAATTTTTAGATTGCTTGCCGTAGTCTATTCTGTTATTTTGGCGGGTGGACAGTTTTTTATTTTATTTATTTGCAATGATTATTTTTACTTTCTTTTGCCTATTTGTGCTTATTTTTATTAGTTCTAACGGTTATTTTAGAGGGGACTATTTGTTAATTTGTTCATTTATTTATTTATTTGGATTAATTTTTATTATTTTTTTATTTATATACTTATTGTTTATTTTGTATATTTTTATTTATTCTATTTGGTTTTCGATTTTTTGAGTAACGTTGTGATGTTTGTTTTCTTTTTTCAGAATAGACTACAACACCCAATCCAAAAAATAGACGTAAAATAGCTATAATTGCTATATATCGATAATATATATATATATATATATATATATATATATATATATATATATATATATATAATATATATAAAACATGTAATATATCAACAAATCAACTTTTAGAAACAAATTAAAATAATATAACACATTTCCACTGAAAACAATTACAGATGAGCAAAAGATTTATCCAAATACATGTTACTAACTGACAAAACAGACAAAATTAAAACATATAATAATATAAGTCCTACAGAAGGATGCTGAGGATACCATGAACCGAACATGTGAGTAAACGACGAAGTTTTGGAGAAAACAGAGACTAAAAGAAAACTTATATTTAACATCAGGAAATAGACAGTCGGGGTTCCTGGGGCACATAAAGAGGAAGGTGGGTTTGGAAAATCTGACACTCACAGAACAGAAGGCACGAGGGGCTGAAAAAAAAACAACGCATAATTTATTTAGTGAGCTTGAAAAAATGGATGAAGGGACAGAGCTTAGGAGGAATAACAGAAAGACAAAGTTTATTAACAGATACAAAAGACAGAAAGTTGTGGAGAGCCATCGTCGAGGGGACACGGTACACAAAGAAGAAGATTAATAACATTATAACGCTTTCAGAAACGTTGACGTGTTGCAGTGGTTACACTGGTTTTACAGACGGATACGAAGAATACCATAAAAATGACACAGAAATGGGAACGAGAATGATGACATTTTCACTTAAAATCAGAAAAAACGGCCATTGGAACTTCTGAGACATATTACGAAAAACGAGGGCTTGAAAAATTTAAAAGACTGATGTTCTAAATTTTAATATTTTTGACGTATTTGGATAGGTCTCATTATTAAGTATTATTATTATTATTATAGATAGTAAAACCAAACTGAGAAAGATAAATACATCGAGATAGAAAGAAAATGAACAGACTTAGATAGATAGCTAGATAGATAGATACATACATAAAGGAACATACTGAGATAGATAGATAAGTGTTATGGGAACTTACCCATAATAATAATGGACTATTCCTGACATTATAAATACTGCGCCTCTCAAGACGTATGAGGGTTGTAAGACGAGGAGAGATAATTGAGAGCATATTGTAAGGACATTGGAATAGTGATACTTGTCGAGACAACATATTTCACTCTAACCAAATCTGATAGTCATTACTAATACTTCTACTTCCTTGTATTATATTTCTGTTGTAATATATCTTTGTATTCCATACTTGTGTTCGTGTTATTCTTTCATTGGTTCTAACCTTGGACCATCACCGTGGTACAAGGAACTTAGACCATAACAATAAGGAACAGAATGAGATAAATAGATAGATAGATAAGGAACAGAGGGAGATAGATAGATAACAGACTGAGATAGATAGATAGATAGAAAAGGAACAGACTGTGATAGATAGATATAAAGAATGTGAGAGAGAGACGGATATGAAAACACTGAGATAGGTAGATAAATATGGGCATTAAAACATTTTGTTATCATTTAAAACGTTGTAATGAAGACAATTAAAGATATAAAAAAAAGGAATCCTCAAGATGAGACTAATTCTAATTTGAAAAGCAAATGAGCGACATTTTTCTATTTTTGCCAAATTCCTGCAATCTCTTCATATTGATAAAAATGGAAGCAATTCACAATCAGACGTTCATCGAGATTCTTTTCTTTTTCTTTTTCACTTCTTATCAATAAAATGTCTGCATTTAATTCCATCAATGATTTTCTACAGATCCTGTGCGGCACATTTTGTCTACAGAGCCAAATTGTTGGCAGTCATTTGCAAGATTCTAGCTGATATTCTAAATGATATTGTACAGCAAAGACGCAATTTTAATTGTCGCTGTTTTGATGAGATTTCTAAAAAATGCACTCTCCTGTTATCGTGCAAAATCAGTTCTCGTCTCTTGTTGCAATCGTATAGAAATCATTTCAAGAATAGCACAAACGATATCATCTCTAACAAAAGCATGGCATTTTTTTTTTTTTACTAAAGGCCAAGTCATAGTGCAACTGACGATCAGAATTTGAGGCCTATCTCTAATCTCGTTCCACTGGGAACGAGGATTTTTGTTTTCGGTTTGGGTTTGCTGTCTTTCACTGGTGAAGAAGTTCGAAGCAAAAAGTAGAGATTAAGAGCAGAATTAATTTGGCTGGAAAACTTAATCCCCATTTTGTTGGTATAATGTTTCTTATTACAATTAATATATAATTTGGCTGAGCTTGTTTTTATTTTTGTTAATAAGGATTTTATATGCATTTAAATCTTTAAATCAATTATTCACGTTAAAACAGTTTGAATAAAAGCAAAACACATCGTAACAAAAAATTATGCAACAAAAAATATAACATGAAAAAGTAGACATAAAGTAACTATTTTTATGCTGACTTTTTTTTTACAAATATACTTTTTATGGTTATAGCAATAGAAAAGTAGACTCTTAAAATGTGTGGTTTAGCAGCAGGGTGAGGGTTAAAATTTTGTACACTTCGTTTACAATATCTAAAAATATCGGATTAAATTTATTGAATTTAATTATAACATTAACATTACATAAAATGTTCTTAAATTATTTTTCATTAATTTTATGCTATAAACTGTCATATTTGCTCATATTTTATGTTTTGTTTCGTGGTAAAATTCAACATACTTTTTAAAAAATAACTTTAGAAGGAAAACACAAATTACTAATAAAAAATTAAATTTTATTACCAATATATTTGTTGTTATTCATAACAATATCACGAGGAAAATATTTAATAAATAACAACACTTTTAAGTAAATTTCACCGTGTAAAAACGAACGAAGTCTTTGGAAGTAAAGTCTGTTATATATGAAACATAACCAAATATTATTAAAATTAATTTTCTTGGAAAATACTTCGTAACATTTGTAATAATAACGATTAGAAAAATTATTAATAATTCTTTTCTTTATATAAAGTAAAATTCAAAAAAGGTTATATTTCATTCTATATTGTGTGGTAAAAATTCAATAGATTTTTTTCATTTGTTAGAAACAGAAAGGCAGATTAGATGAAAATAAATATAATTGATTATTATTGTATTTGATTTAACAATAAAAATTTTATAGAGAATAATATTAAATTAACTTTAAGTGAAAAATGTTAATTTAGCTTCCAAGTAACATAACCTAAATTTCCTAAATTCAATTCATTTTTAGTAAACTTCACACGAAAAGTTCTCTTTTGTAATGAAAACATAGAATATTATAGCAAGTCTAAAGGAAATAAAATATATAAATCTTGTATTTACTTATCAGTTAAATAAGCTAAAGGCATTCCAAATCTAAAAAGTAAAAAAAAATCCTTAAGCAGAAGCGAAATATTTCAAATTGAACCGAATCTGAAAATCATCGCTACCAGTGGAATTATCAAGATTCAAGTGGTTTATCAAGATTTTTTCGATTTAAAAAAAAAAAATCTTTGTTTTTTGTGACAACATACTGAATCAAATACTGTATGAGCGTTAAAGAATTTAACTAGTAATTCAAAGAAAGGAAACTCTTATACCGTATATAGAGAACTCATCTTACATAGGCAACGCCTTAATCAATTCATCTACAGAGGTTAAAGGTCAGACAAGAACAAAATATATAGTTATATATATCACTGATCACTCTCTTCCAAACGTTTCCGACTGTTCACTACATCGAAGCTGTAATGACATCTATTGAGTGTTCATTACTTTCGAGCTGTAATAAAAGCTTTAAGGTAGATAAATTTAAGATATATTTTTTAAATCCATTGCTGCTAAGGAAGTTGGTTCACTCTGTCGTACTGGACAATTTCTCTCTTCAGAAATATATAAGTCTACCATTCGTCCATGCTTAGAATATTGCTGTCACATATGGTCAGGTACTGCTACTATTTATCTAGAGCCCCTTGATAATATCCAAAGAAGCATCAGCAATATTATTAGCCCTATTCTAGCATCTCGGCTTCAGTTTTTTTACCCACCGCCGTAAGGTTGCTTCTCTGTTACATTTCTATGAATACTTTCATGGTAATTGGTCGGATGAGCTCTTCGCTGTGGTACCTAGACTCTTCGAATTTAAAGGCAGTACTAGATTGGCGACAAGGTCTCATCAATTTACAGTTGGGTTGACGGGATGGTACCCATAAATTCTATGCTAACAGTTTCTTTTCTCGTACTACACGCTTGTGGAACTTCAATTTCAGTCAAGTTCAATTTTCAAAAAATTAAATGCATTGTCAATCGCTATCTACAGTCCCATTGATTGATCTTCTTTTGTTCTTGTTCCTTAGCAATGATTTAGTTTCTCTTTCACATCCAGTAACCCCTTGTGTCTCAGTGGCTTTAATGCCTTGTATGGGGAGAACTTGATTAAAAACATATATGGATGTACATTTATGCCATATTAGAGAAGGTGTTGCATTCAGGATATGGGAAACTATTAATTTATTCAAATGTAGAGAAAGCAAGAAGTCTTAAAATGTTATTGATATTTTCTAAGCTAAGTTAAATACAGATGATTGTGTAGAAATGTAGATCGGAGCTAAAGATGTTGTTTGAAGAACCTGGTTTTCTAGCATATCGTAGACTTAAGACCCTTTAAGGAAATTATAGGTAGTAACCACATTTCAGAGGATAAGGTAAGAAACCCAAAATAAAAACATGATTTTCCCAACCATGTAACAACATAAGGAGCTTATGCTGTTTCAGAAAGTCATTCATTCCTGTAGTTCACAAGCAGAAATTATTTTCTCCTGATGATGGCCATGCTGGCCGGAACTAGTCGAGGAATATAATTGAAATCATAAAACAAAAAATATTAATATACAACCCAGTGTGTCTGAAAATTTTAAATTTTTACTCTTTTAATTTCTCAATATTTTTAATGTTCAATATATATATATATATATATATATATATATATATATATAACAGTTAGAAAAATTATTAATAATTCTTTTCTTTATATAAAGTAAAATTCAAAAAAGGTTACATTTCATTCTATATTGTGGTAAAAATTCAATAGAAAGGCAGATTAGATGAAAATAAATATAAATGATTATTATTGTATTTGATTTAACAATACAAATTTTATAGAGAAGAATATTAAATTAACTTTAAGTGAAAAATATTAATTTAGCTTCCAAGTAACATGACCAAGTTTTCTTATTTTGAGAATGTATTTTTGCTCGGTAATAATGTATTTTTATCTTTTTAATCATTTATACTTCAGCTGCGAATGAGACACTCGTAAATTTAAGCGAATTTTCATCACATAACATTAATGAAAACAAACACAACATATAATCGAACTTTGAATTAAAATTACAAGTAGCCAACTAATAATATAAACAAATTTATTAGTCATTATATTTTAATGTAAGTTGAATACAAATCATTGTGTATAAATGTAGATCGAAGGATTGCGTTAAGCAAAGCAACAACGCCACTAACACGCAAGGGGTTACTGAATGTAAAAGAATATAACAAAAATAATATTATGGAGCGGGAACAATAAAAGAATTACATTCTTGATGATGAAATTTGACTGGGAAGCAAGAAGCCGGAAGAGCGTTTCGCAAGCGAGAAAAAAAAAACTGTTAGCATAGAAATTACGGTTACATCTAATTATTTCAAGCTTAAATTTATGGAGTCCAGATACCATAGATGAAAGTTCATCAGAACAATTACCAGTATTTATAGAAAAGTCATAGAGTAGCTACATTACGGCGGTGAGTAAGTGACTGAAACCGAGATGCCAGGTCAGGACCACTGCAGAGTCTTCTTTAGACTTTATGAAGGATCTCTAAATATATAACAGGAATACCAGTCCCTATGTGGTAGCAATAATCTAAGCATGGATGAATAGTAGACTTGTAAATATATCAGATAGATTCGGGCGAGAAAGTTTGTCTAGCATGATACAGAGAACCTGCAGCAAAACCTAGTAATCTATTCAATATAATCTTTCCATTTCATGTCAGCGGAAAACGTTAGCCGACGAAGGTGCAACGAGTCACTCTCCCGAAGGTTGGCATCAGTCATGCTGATGGAAGGCAGAATGGGTTTTCTCAGATGATTAATAGAGAGCAGTTTCGTTTTGGAGGCATTGAAATTAACAATCCATTCCTTGCCTCATTTAACAACAGATAGCGGGTTCATTCTTAAGATCAGCTGCTAATTTGACCTCATCAAACCAATCAAACCAAGTATTAAGACAAGAATAAATAGTTGTCGTCAACATAGATAATGGGATGAGGACTCATGGCATCAGAAAGGTCAGTGATGAAAATTAGAAAGAACGTAGGTCCAAGGATATGTCAATTTATACAAGTTTCTCTTCCCCTTCTCTCTATCTATGCATCTCTTTGTTTATACGCCCACGCACAAACACAGACACACAAATACACGTATAAGAACACACACAAACACACACGCATACATATATGTATGATCAAATTCAAAAGACTT